GTCCCGGGGTTGGGTCACGTGGTATAACTCAGCTGGTCAGATACTTGGGGTCGTCAGCAGCATTGATTGGCCATTTGGTGTATAGATCTGACCAGCTGTATGCAGCTATATGCCTGTGGGGCATTTCCTTGTTCAGAGGACGTCTAATGCCAGCTCCCCAGATTTCCGGGGGATTCCAGTTTGGGTGGGTGTATAAAGTAGAACAATTCTTTTAGAAAGTTCTTTAGCAATACAGGGCAGACATCTTTTTACATGACTGGTTAAGAGCATCGGTTCCTGCATTAGAGAGACGTGTTTGAAGTTCAGCTCTGCTAATAACTAGCTGTGTGACCAAGGGCAGTGACAACTTCTTGGAGTCTCAGCTAGTTCTATAAAATAGAGCTCATAATACCTGGCTCCCAAGATTTCCTGTAAGGACTAAATGAAATGGTATATGTAAAGTGCTTAGCACATGGTTCACAGCTAAAGGTAGTTGTTAATTCCATTTCTTATAATGATATAAAATGAGAGAAAGCTTGGAGGATTAGATATTTATCCTGGCATTTATCATATGAATGAAAACCTGGAAACAATCTAAAGATCTAATATGGGGCACAGGGTCAGGCAGACTCATTAGTCCCACTCATTAGGAGACAAGGTGTGTAGTCAAACAAGCTCAGCTGGGCAGGTGTCATGCCCAGTCCCCATCAGACCCATTGCTACCTGCAAGCGCCTTGACCTAGGACTCAGAGGACAGCCTGCATCTGGGTTGTGAAGATTAACCAGCTGGCAAATGCATAAAATAATCTCTCTCCATATTCTCAGACACTGGCTGCCACCTCCTAGAAGGGAACAAATGGCAGCCTGCCTGGTAGAAGGAGGCACCTGGGGGCAGCATGGTCACCCCAGCCTTGCCTTAGTCCTGAGGGGGCAGGCAGTTCTGATCGAAGTGTTGCATTTCCAAGCTGGCTCTTGGCTCTAAGCATCAAGTTGAATGGGAAATTCCCTGGAATATGGAAAAGCCAAAAGGGAAAAATTTGGGGCCTGGAAGCAGGTCGGTTCCAGCAGGAAACCACCAAGGCCCACCTCTAACGGGAGGGGAGCTGTGAGCCTCCCTCACCACCACGGCAGCCACGTTCTCACTAGTCAGAGTGGCACACAGGCATAATTAGGTTGTGAACAAAAACCCTGGCTGGTGGTGAAGAAAGGATGTATCTTGTTCTGGCCTGGAGACCTTAGACAAGTTTTGGAAAGTTTCTCCCTGAGCCTCAGTTTCTCTATCTGCTAAGCGGGAAAGCCACCACCTGCCTTTTGTAATCTTGAGGATGTTTAGTAAATGTTAGGTCTTCCTCCTTCCCCAGGTAGAAACACTCAGGTGCCTGTGGACACTGCTGTGTGGAAGGAGGAGGGTTGAGGGGCTCCAGGGAAGCCAAGGGGAGGTGTGGTGAGCTGGGTGAGTTATCTTAGGACATGAAGCTATCCCTTTGGGGGAAAACCAGACTACAAATGGAAAAGCCAAGAGGGAATAACTTGGGGCCTGGAAGCCTGTCCCAATGAGGGCAGCAGAGTACAACAGAGAATGAAACAGACCAGGACCCTGAATCCTGGCCCTGCCACCTTCTAACAGGGGAACCCTGGGAACACTGTCAAATGCATTTTCTGAGCCTGAGCTCCCACTCTGTGGAAGGGGAAATGGCCAGCCTCAGAGGGCCTAGGACTTTGAGGGACTCCAGGGCACTTTGTGCTGACTGGCATCTAACCCAGACCTTTCCTGCCAGTTGAGAACACCCCATCCGCCCTGCTCTGAATAATAATAGAAGCTAATATTTCTTTTTTTTTAATATTTATTTTTTAGTATTTGGCAGACACAACATCTTAGTTTGTATGTGGTGCTGAGGATCGAACCCGGGCCGCACGCATGCTAGGCGAGCGCACTACCGCTTGAGCCACATCCCCAGCCCCAATATTTCTTGAAGGAAAAGATTAACTACATGTTAATCAGCTAAAGGTAACTGAAAAACAGAGGGAATGTTTCCTCAGAAATCTTTTGGAAGTATCCTTCCAAATGCTAATAAATGGCCTCATGGGGCTCAGAAACCTATTCTTGATTCAGAAAGAACATTTTTTAAAAATATTTTTTTAGTTGTAGCTGGACACAATATTTTTATTCATTTTTATGTGCTGCTGAGGATTGAATCCAGTGCCTCACACATGTGAGGTGGGCGCTCTACCACTGAGCTATAGCCCCAGTACCAGAAAGAACTTTTGATGGAGGAAAATATCATTTTGGGCAAATGCAGGTCAACAGAAGAGTCACCATGTGAACTCCCAGTTAAGGCCTCCTTTTAAAAGTGCTATGCAGCCTGCATGTAGCATATTTTCAGAGATATTTTTTTGAATGAATGGACACACGAATGCATAGATGGAGTGGCCAGAGAGCTGTAGGACACTCTCTGCTGAGTGTCATCGGATCCCAGGATATGTTCAGTGGCTGCAGGGGATGCTGTTGTTCTTAATCAGCTCTGTCTTGCTGTCTGAAAAGTTAACTACTGGATGTGGATGTGCCATTGGAAGGAAGGGTTGGGGCAAGAAGTTGGGAGGACTGAATCTCCCCCCTCAGCTTCAAAGATCCCACATCCTCTTGTGCCGCCCCAATTCTCTAAGTTTCTGAGGCGCTTTGATATTCCCAGTGGAGATGAAGACCCAGCATACAAGAAAACCCAGGCCAGATGAAAGGCCAGGCCCCAAGTCCATGTACCCCACACAGAACCAGCCCTGACGAACGCCCATTAGGCTCTGGCTCCTGCCTGCCAGCTTGTCTTCTTGTCTCTCTCCACACAATGCCGACAGATTGGAGGAGTTGGTTTCCTTCCCCCAAGAACAATATTTTATGAGGAGTCTGTTTTATTAAAATATTTTCCGCTGGATGCTTCCTGTGTTTCAAGAAGTTGGTCTTGCCAGCTGGAGCTGATGACAGTTGAGAAAAACACATCCAAGTGCTGTTGTGACATGGCATTTGGAAGTGGAGGAGCACTATGGGGGGGTGGCAGCATGGAAGAGATGCAGGAAAACACCCGGGTGGCACCAGAAATGTCACTGGCAGTATGAGAGCACAGCCTCCCCTTCTCATTAAGAAAATGTGAAAAGAAACCCTTGCAATGATGTCCCCCAATGTACTGCTCTACCTCCTTATAGGCCCAAACTGCCATGCGGCATGGTCAGAGAAGTCCTGTCATTTGTCTCGTATCACTGTTAGTTTGCCAATCCCCAAGTCAGCTCCCACTGGTTCATTTCAACCCCAGATACTTCCCAAGAAGAAATCCAATATGGGGCACATTGTGAAAGGAAACGAAAATCAATTTGGACACAGCGCAGGTGATATTGAGGGAAACGGCATCAATGCTGGCTCTGTGGTGCACACTAGAGTCATCTCTTCTCACTGGGTTTGGAAGAGCAACAGCATAAATAAATGTGGTTGGGAAGTCCAACCTGTAACCAGGGAGGAACATATCATTTTGGGCAAATGCAGGTCACTAGGGAACTGATCACAAAATGGATGATGCTTTTCCACAGATGTGGAGTGTGGTTGGTCTGGGATGTTTTATGCAACATAAGGATAGCCTGGGTTACACTATCCACAGGCCCATAACCTGTGTCCCAACACAGTGTCTAAAAGATTTAGTTTGGTTTTTAAGAGATGACTTTAAGGATAAGTGGTTAGTTTCATCCCTCTCAGAAATCTTTAGGGCCTGAGGAACTCTAGAGCTATGCAGCATTCTCTCCACGAGGGGGCAATCACAGCCCACAGCCAGAGCCAGACTCCACATTCCCACCAGCCTATTGTGCAGAGGATAAGTTAAATCTACACCCAACTTTGAGAGACCTCTCTTGGAAATTTCACACAACCAAGCATCTACATACATGCATGTGTGCATGCACATGCACACACACTCACATATACACTCTCTCATCCCTGAGCTCTGGCTATCCAGGTAGGTTGGTTTTATAAAGACATGGGAGTCTCAAGTGGTATCTGATTGTAAACCAGGGAATTCTGGGAAAGGAAGTGCCCCATAACCTGGTTTAGGCCACAGCTTGACATTTCAGAATTGTTTCTTCCTTTTGGTTCCAAATAGGGCCAGGACCTGGCATCTCCCTAACTTCTTTCTCTGGGAATTTTTCTACAAGCAGACCAGACAGGAGGATCATTCCCCTTCTCACTCAAAGGCCTAAATTTTCTGATTTCTCCAATCCCAGGTCAAGACGAGACCATGCTCTTCCTAAAGACACTGCAGGAAGCTGGTGTGGAGCCGCTAAGGTGGTTGGGCAAAGCCCATGGGTTGTGAACCCTGTGGACAAAGGGAAGCAGCATCTTCTCTAGAAAGCTCTGGAGTCAGGTTGTCTGGAGCTTCTGGCTTTGACCTAATTTAGGTAACTCAGCCTCTGGCCATGGCTTGTATCCTGCCTCACTTGTTCACCAGGTAACCCAAGCCAGCCTTGGGTTGTGGTCTGAAGGGAGGTGGCAAGGAAAAGCCATGACATCTTAATACTGTGGCCCAGGGGAGCAAAGGGGTCTGGTGAGGTGGAGCACCAAGTGAGGAAGACTTGCAAACAAATTTGAGCCACAGAGATCTTCAGCACCACCATGTCTGAGGGCATGGCCTTGTTAAACAGTTGGCCTTGCCACCTAGGTTGTTGAACTTTACCTGTGGACCTGACATCTTCTGCGTATAATTCTAGACCTTCTTTGGAGCTTAGTGCCCTTTGGGTCTCACTCACCCAGCCCAGGTGCTTGGTTCCCTGGCCTCTGGGGTCTCTCACTGATCCAACTGAAAGCAGCAGAAGGAACCAACTGAAGCTAACACTAAAGGCCCAGCCCTGCTTCTCATAGACCTCTTGGTGAAACAACTGCTTGGAGCACCAGGGAAGCCTCTCAGAGGCCAGGGTGGCACTCTTGGGCACCCAAAGCACTGCTCTAACTGGGTTCTTGCAGACAGAAGGAGGAAAGCCATGGTACTTACTGCTCAGGGCTTGAGACAGATGTCCGCCGGCCTTCCACGGCAATGTTGCTCTTTGGTCTCTTGACAACATGTGGACGGGGTGGGCGCACCTAGGAGGGGCACAGGAAAAGTCCAAGAAGAAATAAGTTGGGAAAGCCACACAGGGACATTCTGAAGATTTGTGTAGGTATTTTTAAGGTACAGGCTATAAAAGTCCCACAGTGTCAAGTGCAGCAGATAGATACATTTGGAAAGGTTCTCCTTATCTACAAGACAGGAATAGTCCCACTAGCCTCCTTGCAGGGCTGCAGTGAGGGTACATCAATGAGATGATGTACACAAGGGACCCAGCAATGAGGCCCTCATCCTTGATAAATTTCTTGCCCTCCTGTTACCCGGAAACCAGTGTGTAAGCAGAAATGTTTCATCAGACTTGTTTCTGGGGAATACATGTGTATTTTGTTCATTTTACAACTAAATTACAGGATGCTTCTTTTCTTCTCTCTATGGGAGAGACAATTAAAGACATCCTTTTGCTTCCCAGGGCACCCCTGTACCAGCCCTCCAGTGGGGCTCAGCTGAGGTATGGCCACCCTCACAGCACAGATCTGACCCAAGGGTGATGGGGGTGTACTGGGAAGTGGACAGATTCTCAAGCCTATAGTTTCCATTGAAGTGACAAGCTGGGGTATCCCGACCTGCCATCTCTGAAACCCAAAATGAGCATCCATGGAAAAAGATGCTCCTCTCAAAAACAAACAAACAAGGATGCTTCTCTCCCCCACCAGAGCGTGTGGTAGGGGTCAGGCTGAGAGTTTGTAGGTTTGCTCAAAAGAAGACTCATTTAATCCAATCAACTTTACATGGCTATACATTTGGAACCACCATCTCTGACCATTTCCAATGTCAGAGAGACAGGGAGAGAACCAAGCTAAGAAAGTGCCCCGTGAATTTCACTACCAATAAAGCCAAGTACTGTGGCTAGGCAGGGGGCTTGCTTTCCCTGTAGACACGATGCCATAAGTGCCAAATTCCACCGACAACAGAGAAGGAGAATTTGTGCACACTCCTCTTCCTGCTTGCCCTTTTACCTGAACACCTCTACTCTCAACAATTTGTGGGTGACACAGAACAATGGCTAAGGAACAAGATTACAGAAGTTAGCTGCATATAAGATGAATCTTAATAGAGTCTCATCAAGCCCTCACATCTGTGCATGTATCATTTAACGAAAGTTTTTCCTGTGAAATGGTCAATCTGATCTCAGCTTTGTTTGGCAAATCAGAGATGTGGTAAAAACCAAATGTGTTCCACCAAACATGCTCTGTTTCCTTCCATGGGGCTGCTATGAAGACTCAAGAATGGGGGAGAGTGCGGGCTCCATAAATGCTTGTCCTGCTTCGCTGTGACCTCGATATTCCCTTCTTATCAATAACAAAAGAAATAAGGGGAGGTGCCTCTGAATTAGAGGATGAAATTTAGGATTATCTTTCCTTTCTAGCATCCTGCATAGTGCTTGGTATACAGTGGAAGCTCAATGAGATTTTTAGAAACATATGAAGGTTGGCGCTTCGAATCTAAGAGGCACATAATACTGTCACTATTATTGTTATCAGAATAGTGCCTGTAGATGTTCAGTCAACATGTGCTGAATAAATGAATGGGTATACCCACCCCGCATTCTAACTCTGAGCTAGTTTCCCTGGCCAGACTCCCCTGGCAGCTTTAAATAGGGTTCCTGGCTGGAAGAATGCCCCAGACCTCCCCTGACAAAGGGAGGACTGCAGCTGGGGTAGAGGAGCTGCTCTGCCCCTTCCCTGGGGGTCCTGGGGCACCGGGTTCAGGAAAGGTCAGACATTAAGGCCTGTCGGCGCATCCTGCACAGGGCTGCTCCTTGCTATAATAAAGGCGGGTTAAGAATGTGAACTTGTGGCTGAAATAGGGGGATTAAGTTTGTGGCAACTTCAACTGAACTTGCAACGTGGTGAAACATGGGGAAAAAGAACAACAGAGCTAATTAGACGAGCTGAGCTGTCAGAGTGCTGCTGAATGGCTCAGCGCCAACAAACAAAAGGAATGGGTTGGCAATCAGCAGGATCGATGGAGGAGACTGCTTCATTAGGGATGATAAAACAGACGGGGGTGGGGGAGGGAGAGAAAGACACAACGGACCAGAGACAGTCACCCTGGTGGTTACAACCCAACCGGAGCCACACACACACCTAACTGGTGTGGACAAAGCCACACACAAAATTATCCTCACACCCACCCAGATACACAGAAGCTTCAGGACTCCAACATAAACACAATCTCATAGACACACACCGAGGCATGCACAAGGGGTGAAGGCCCACAGAGGAATCAAGTGCGCGCGCGCGCGCGCACACACACACACACACACACACACACACAGCGGCCGACCACGACCAGGCAAGGAAACACACAGACAAAATGGTTTAATTAAGCCTGAATCACCAGACGATGCAGACAACTCCCGTCATATTTCAGCAACTGCATACCTCTTCTTGGAGTGCTTAGGAAGGGTGGGGGCTGTGAAAGAGTAGAAAACCACACGCACACACTACGGGGCGGCCCCACCACTGCCAGGATCCCAGCGGCACCAGGGGAGAAAATGCTAAACAGGGATTTCCAGCATGGTTCAAGGGGGACTGGAGGGGAAAGTTGGGAAGCTCGCCAAATTCCCCACTGGATTTAAAACCTGAGAAATCTAAGTCGGCAGGGTTAAATGTGTATTGAATACAAAAGCACCGAGTATATTTGATTTTAATGGTGAGCAAGAAATAATAAATACAGAGCTTATAAAGTGCTTTGCATGTGGGCCAACCATAGCCTATCTCTGCCCAGAGAGCGAGGCCACTGCCCTTGGTCCACTAGCTACATGCACCATTTTTTTTTCCTGCTCTTTGTTTTTTCTTCTTTTAAAGAAGCAACCCATATCCTGTGGTCACAGCTGAACTCCAGCTACAGGTGCTGGGCCACAAAGCACCTGCCAGAAATTTCGGATGAGGGCTAGCCCCCCATGTTCCCACCACCCGGGCCAGCAGCTGCACTTCTGCTGGGGATGTTTACAACTAAGTGATACCACAAAGCCTGTCTGGGGCCAATGGCTCCCAACTTGGGGGTTTCAGGCAACCTTCTTCAAGGCCCTTGAAGTGTTCCATACTCCAGGTCTCCCCAGTTCCCACCTACTGGGTAATGGTGTCCTCTGGAAATTTGCACAAATGCATTGAGGGTGAACACTTCCCACAACCTGGAATCTTGGAGCCCAGAAAGCATGGACCTTATCTATGACTCTCAGTGGCCTTGGTAGGCATTAAGTTTTTTTTTTTTTCCTTTATTTTATTTATTTTTATGTGGTGCAGAGGATCGAACCCAGAGTCTCACACATGCTAGGCGAGCACTCTACTGCTGAGCCACAATCCCAGCCTCTAGGCATTAAGTTTTGGGGGATGGATATGCCACTTGATGCAGGCCATGTGTTAGGAACCCTTAGTATATGACCTCATAACCCTCATCACGTGGGCATGATAAACTCACTTTATAGATCATCCAACCAAAGCTTTGAGCAGGTAGGGTCTTGTCTAAGGTCACACAGTCAGGAAGTAGCCATGCTGTGCTTCAAGTGAGGGTGGGCCTCTTTGACTTCTAGGGGGAGCTGCTCCCCCTAGGCCCCTGCTTCCTGAGCATACCAGGACCCAGGGAAGGGATGGCCTGAGTGCCAGGCTTGGTGCCTCTCTCAGTAAGCCAGGGGCAGAGGTAGTTGCCACTCAGGCTTCTCTATTCTCTAAGACCTCAGTTACCAGTAGAGATGGCCAGGCACCCCCTTATCTGGGCAAGTCTCCATACTGGTGAGATGACACAGAGTCCATGACAGCTGTCTCCAATGTTTGAGTTTTTCCAGAGGCAGCACTTCTGCCCTAAGTCATACTGATTCTCTGCCTGCCTTGGAGCCGGGGCCTCTAGGGATTCTGAGAGCCACCCACGGCTGACTTTGGCTTCAGGGGAGGCTGTCAAGAGGGGAACAGAAGAGGCCAGCCTGGCTTCAAATGCCAGTATGGCCTCCTATCATCTCTGTGGTCTTGGCTACAAATTGGGGAAATGGCATGTGCCTCCTGTGGGCTGTAATAAGGACAGACAAGACACAAAAAATGCAAATGCCTAGCGTAGTTCTAGGCACAATAAAGGGCACCCTATCAAGGTAAGTTCCCCTCACCTCTGTATCGGCCAGGACATAACGCTGCCCTAAGATCCCACAGGAAGCCCAGCTAGTTATTGATTTTTTTTCTTAGTTGAAAGCCCTGCCTCTGTACTTTATAGTTAAGTCCATTTTGGTTACTGTGGATATGAAGGTTCTAGTGAGTTTGGGATGCAGAAAAGAGCATGGGTTCTAGGGCTTGGTGACCCTTGCAAAGGACTTAGTTAGGATGTTTAGCATCTGTTTTCTAATCTCTAAAATGGGTGGTGACAACACCTACTTCACAGAGCTACTATGAGGCTCAACCAGGATGAGGTACTTAAAAATGATTTGCTGGCTGTTAAATCCTGGACTTTTCAAAACTAGGTCGTTCCTGGTCCAGTGTGGTGGGGCACACCTGTCCCCCAGGAGTCTGAGACAGGAGGATCATAGGTTCCAGGTCAGCCTGGGCAACTCAGTGAGACCCAGGCACAAAATATAAATAAAAAGGGCTGTGGATGTAGCTCAATGGTAGAGTACCCCTGGATTCAATCCTTATGAACCCTTCCTCCCAAAAAAAGAAGTTGTAGGATGTACCATTCTGTGCCAGGCCCTATGCAGGATGCTCTACAAATGTTATCCACATTCATTCTCACAGAGAACTCTCATGAATAAGGGCCTCTTACAGAGAGAAGTGAGGCTCAGAGACCTTCAGTTCTTGCCCAAAGCCACACAGCTTCAGCATCCCAGCCTAATTATGCTACAGTCCAAATGCATGCTGTTAATGACTGTACTGAAATGCTCAGTAAATTGCACAAGGTTTGATCCAGAAGGGGCTTCCTGTCCCTGATAGTGGGTCTTCTTGTTGCTTGTGTTTTTTTTTTTTTTCCAATGACAATTAACAGAAACATTCTA